GGGAGGTGTCTCTGCCCAGGGCAGGGGGGTTGGAACTAGATGATCTTTGAGGTCCCTTCCAACCCAAACCATTCTATGATTCTGTGATTCTAAAAAAAGACCTTGAGGTGCTGGAGCAGGTCCAGAGAAGGGCAATGGAGCTGGTGAGGGGTCTGGAGCACAAGTCTTGTGAGGAGAGGCTGAGGGAACTGGGGGGGGTTCAGCCTGGAGAAGAGGAGGCTGAGGAGAGACCTTATTGCTCTCTCCAACTCCCTGAAAGGAGGGTGTAGCCAGGGGGGGTTGGTCTCTTCTCCCAAGGAACAGGCGATGGGACAAGAGGAAATGGCCTCAAGTTGCACCAGGGGAGGTTCAGATTGGACAGAAGGAAAAATTTTTTACACTGAAATGGTTATTAAGCCTTGGGATGGGCTGCCCAGGGCAGTGGTTGAGGCACCATCCCTGGAGGTATTTAAAAGATGGCTTGACATGGTGCTCAGTAACATGGTTTAGTGATGGGTTGTTGTTTGTTTTTTTTTTAATCAGAGTTAGCTTGATGGTAGGACTCAATGCTCTGAAAGGTCCCTTCCAACCTAGACGATTCTATGATTCCAAGAAGGGACAGAGTTAATATCAAAAATCATCTTCTCCGGGTAGCAAAACATGCCCTCTCCTCTCATTTTCCCTTCCTTTGCTCAGAAAGTCTTGAGACAAATACTGTTGCGTTCTATTTCCCATGTGTAAATAACTGCTTGTCGCTAGTAATTTATTAATTTTTTAAAAAGGCAAAAAAAATCCAGCCATTCATATTAAAAAGCCCATCTCACACAAAACATGCCACTGGCTCAGGCACAAGATTTAACCATCTGTGCAGACGGGCCCGTCTTAAGACGTGTACTTTATATCAAGTGTAATTCCTTCCTCTTACACGACACATTTGCTTATCTGCAGTAAATTCAAGGAGAGCAAACAATAATTATTAGTGGGGATGAGGGGGAAAACGTTAAAGAAAAATAATCAAACAGCAAACTTCTTGCAGATATATTGAATTTTTAAAAACGCATCCAAAGGAGAATATTCACCTGTTGTGGTTAAGTATCTCCCTGGCTTTTACTGCGTTACAAACAGGGTAACACAACTGAGAACAGCAGCAGGAGAACTACTGTCGCTTTTTACTCACTGTTTAATGAACAGTGAGAGAAAAAAATTTCTGAGAAAAGATTTAAGGGCTGCACTGACAAGATACTGTACGTTTTAATTTCGAGAGTTAAACAGAAGCATTCTCTGTTCCCACCATGTAATTTCTCATGACAGTTAGTCAGGCTTGGGAACAGTTCCATTTTGGTTTTCTGCCCAATAATGCCCATAATCATAAGAAAATCACATTTAACTTCAGTGTTAAGCACTCATGATTACAGCACATGGATTTTGTAAACTATCACACTCAAGTGACGTAAGCAGCTGGAAATTCAGTTTTTCAACCCAACATACTCCCCTTTCCTTCCTTCTCCACCAGCCATTTAAAAAGTCAACTTGGACATGCTCCCCTTTCCTTCCTCCTCCACCAGCCATTTAAAAAGTCAACTTGGAATCAAATCTTTATGTGTGAAAATGCCAGAATAGATGATATATATAAAGCTGAATCAAGAAAGCATCTCTCGACACATTAAGGGATGGAACAACTCAGTTTTGAGGGTAGGTAACACTAAAGGGACATGGTGTAGGGGAGGACTTTGTAGAGTAGGGTAGATGGTTGGACTCGATGATCCCAAGGGTCTCTTCTAACCTGAATGATTCTATGATTCTATGATTCTAAAATAGTTTGGGCATAGACTATCGATATAACCAAAAACGACCACTTTTCTTCTTCTCCTAAGTTATCACCATCGTCCAAAGAGGTTTTTACTCTTCCTTGAGGAAGTCCAAGCAAGATGACGTTTGGGGAATGCACGAGTGGAAGTGATAGACCAGGCATTAACTCTCAGCTCTTCAAGGGCAGGGAAATAACAGCAGCTCTTCATACCCTGCAATAAACCACTCATCAAGAAAAAAAAAGAAAAAAAAGGAAAAAAAAAAAAAGTGCCTGTTGTCTCCTTGCAGAGCAGACCCAGCTTGGCACCTCTCCAGGGGCAGTGCTGACACAGCTAACCGTCTCCAGCCCCAAACAGTCCAAAGTGTAAGCAAAGAATTAAAAGACAAATAAAAATAAAATAAAAAAATAAAATCCCCTGTAGCTCCCAGGAGAAGTGCTTGTTGTCTCCTTGCAGAGCAGACTCAGCTTGGCACCTCTCCAGCAGCAGTGCTGACACAGCTAACAGTCTCCAGCCCCAAACAGTCCAAAGTGTAAGCAAAGAATTAAAAGACAGCCTGTTGTCTCCTTGCAGAGCAGACCCAGCTTGGCACCTCTCCAGGGGCAGTGCTGACACAGCTAACCGTCTCCAGCCCCAAACAGTCCAAAGTGTAAGCAAAGAATTAAAAGACAAATAAAAATAAAATAAAAAAATAAAATCCCCTGTAGCTCCCAGGAGGGGCAAGCTGCATTTTGTGATGACCTCAAGGGACTGGTGTGAATGATTCAGACTGCATACAGAAACCACAGAATGTAAACCAACATCAACGTATGGGAACACCTAAAGAACTTTAATGGAATCCCTGGTTATTGTGATTATTTTCTGCTTTGGGGATAATTGAAATTCAGTTTGCAAAGCCATTTAAGAAGTATTACTAATGTAAGATATACACTGCAAAAATGCATAGCTCAAGGACTCAGGCTCGGAGGCTGATTAAAATACTGATTTATTTATAGGTCACCAGCTGCCATACATTATCTGATGAAAATCCTTTCTTTTTCCTTAGTGAAAAAAATAAAATCATCATATTAAAAAGTAGATGTACCTTTGTCTTTCAGAAACACCATCACTACAGAGCACAGAGATCTATCACTTCCCTTGTCTTTCCTTCCAGCCAGTTTATTCAGCTCTTTCTCACTTAGGAGAGGGCTCACTCGACGATCAAAAGACTCACCTATTCCCTGCCTGATGACAAGAAGCAACTCTGCAGGGAGAGTTCAGGCACCTTTCACCACTGAGCTGCAGACCTACTGCACAGTCCCAGCTCCAGGAGAAAACCCCCAGAGCACCCGGGTTTTCAAATTACAGGCTGTGTTTGAAGGGGGAACCAGCATGATGGTGGACACCAGACACAAAGCAATTCCTCACTGCAGACTAGGTGTGTTTACTGAAGAGGAACCCTCCAGATGTTCATAGAGTCATGGAATCATTCAGGTTGGAAAAGACCCTTGGGATCATCAAGTCCAACATCAAGTCCAACCATCACCTTACGGCTTACTGTGTTACATGCCGTGGTAGCTTCTTCAACTATCCAGATACTCCTCACGGCTTACTGCGTTACACGCTGTGGTAGCTTCTTCAACTATCCAGATACTCCTTTTTAATTAGTCCTTAAGGCAGCATTTGCAGCAAAGATGTTGGACCTGTTGGAATGGGTCCAGAGGAGGGCTTACAGCAAAGATGTTGGACCTGTTGGAACGGGTCCAACAGAGGGCCCCCAAGATGCTCAGAGGGCTGGAGAACCTCTCCTATGAAGACAGGCTGAGAGAGCTGGGGTTGTTCAGCCTGGAGAAGAGAAGGCTCCGGGGAGACCTCAGAGCAGCCTTCCAATATCTGAAGGGAGCTCCAGGAGAGCTGGGGAGGGACTCTTTGTCAGGGAGTGCAGTGACAGGACAAGGGGGAACAGTCTTAAATTGGAAGAGGGGAGATTGAGATGAGATACCAGAAAGAAATTCTTTGCTGTGAGGGTGGTGAGACCCTGGAACAGGTTGCCCAGAGAAGCTGTGGCTGCCCCATCCCTGGAGGGGTTCAAGGCCAGGCTGGATGGGGCTTGGAGCAACCTGGTGTGGTGGGAGGTGTCCCTGCCCAGGGCAGGGGGGTTGGCACTGGATGATCTTTGAGGTCCCTTCCACCTCTAACCATTCTGTGATTCTATGTTCAGAGTTGGGAACACCTAGATGGAACAATCACAAAGAAAAAGCAGAAATATGCCATTGAAAAAAAAAAAAAAAGAAGACATTTACTTTTTATCTGTAAAAAGCAGGGGGAAAAGTCTGGTATTGGCAAAGCACCGCCAAAATACTGCTGAATGGAGAGATACTGAACTACCTGAATTTTAATAACCAAAGGAGATGCAGCACTAACATCAACTACCCAGTCTTTTTTCACTACACACTTGCCAATATGCTTTACACCCAACTTAAAAAACAAAAAACAGCGTTGTTACAAGAGTCCAAAGTCTACTTCTGTTGTAAAAACACGTGCATCTGCATATAAGTTACTTTGATTTTGTAATTTCTCATCTGATTCACTCCTTTGTCCCAAGCATTGCCCAGATGGTCCAATTAATACCATAAGAAACCGTCTCGCGAGGGACAGCGACCTCTTAGTACAAAAGAGACTTTGAAGAACAGAGGAATTAAACAGTTTAGGGATAAAGGAAAACAGAGGAGCTCACCACTGGACTGGCCCGAGCAGAGCTGGCTCTTGAAGATGCCCGAGATCCTGAACCAAGGTAGCAGCTGTATTCAGAAGGCTGCCGCAGGTAAACCAAGGACAGCAAGCAGAGAAAAGAGACAAGCATTAGAATTAGGCAGGGAAGCAAGGGAGGATTTTAGAGCAGTACATCTGCAGTCAGTTACAGAAACGGTTACATGCAGCTGGACAAAGGAATAGCAGTGAAAGTCAGAGAAAAGACACCTCAACTGTTCATTTAAAAATTAAGGCGAGCAGTAATTCCAGCTGAGGGACCAAGCAGAGCTTTGATTCAATTCAATATTGACGATTTATTTATATATATTGAGATACCATTCACAAATAAACAACTCTCAGTCTCCATACAACAGGCTCAATGCTATTAGTCCTGAAGAGCTCTGAGGTTCTCTGGTGAGCCTTCTTCCCATGTTTCCAACACTGTGCACCTATAAAATGAATCCATGCTCCACAGGCCAAAGAAAGAAACACCCATCTATGCTGTGACTGAAGTAAAAACCAAGACCATCTCAGAGACAGAGAACCTCTCTTGCCTCTTCCAGCACCTGCAGCCCTCATCTCCTGCCAAAGAAAGTATTTTGGTCTATTCTTAAAAGCAACCATCTAAGCAGTGATGCAGAACAGGCAGGGCTGACTTGCTGCTGACAAGGACAAAGAATGCGTCTACGCTGTTTTATTTCCAGAGGAATGGAAAGGAAAGTTTAGAGTGTCAGGGCAACAGAGTTAAAACTTTTTCTGGAAATGCATTTTAGAATTATTCCCTCTATTTTCATAGATTTCTGAGCAGCAGCTTCACACTCAATCTTGTATTTTGATGTGCTTTATAGAAAGACAGGTAAGAATATATAAAAAGGGAGGTTTCGATACATTCGTAACAGGGAGGAATGAAACTTGAGGTTTACCTGATGTTATTTTTCCTATTGCTACTACCTTCGAGGCCATTGAGGCCTTGCAGTCTGTCCAATATCTCATGCAGAAGCTTGTACCGACACAAGGGCAGGGGCAGTTCAGGGACAGGAACAAGCAGAAGGAACTGCTCTTCTCTAACGACCCTTACAAGTTTATTTTATAGGCCCTTAAGACTGTTTCTCAGATGTAAAAACACCAAAGTCTAAAGAATGACCCTAGTTTTGCATGTATTCTGTTTTGTTGGGTTTTGTTTTGGTTTTTAATTTTTTTTTGGAAGGTTTCTTTTATTAAGTTACCTGGATTCCTCAGTTACAGAGCAGCCAGGTCTTCACCAAGCTATTGTAGGACTGTTTCAGCATCATTAGTCACGCTAACAAACCGGCACAAGATGAAATGGAAATCAAGCTTATAGTAGTAATAAATGATAAGAGGGTAAGCTGGAAATAACCTCAGCTACAGTGCAACCATCAGCTGAGTTACTAACCACAAAGCATTACATTCCAAGGTGCACAGCCCTTAGGAAGCCCCTGGAGCAGGGGAGAAGGTGCCCAAGCTGTGTCCTCGGATGCCATACGTGAAACAACGCTGTCTTCATGCACCTGAACTACTGAGCTTCATTTTAGACAGGAGAATTACACAAAATTTAGAACTGCCTTGAAAATACTCGCAAACTGTGTGCCACCACAGCCACTTAAAGTTCTAAATGAAAAGCAAAAAGCACTCTAGTAATTATTTAGATTTTGTTTTCTCAAAGTAGCTCCAGCAGAGAAGCCTTGCACCATCACTGGTGTTCCATGTTTCACATAGGAAGGATGTAGAATAAACTTGAAATACATGTCGAGGAAGAAATATTAAGTACTGATGAATCTCATATTAATGTTTCACAGGACTTACTTATTCCATAGTTGTTCTCTCTGTATCGTAGGGCAGAACATGGAAGCAAGTGCCACTTGCTCAGTGGAACCAGTTTCAGCCTGACCCCATGCCATCTGATGACCCAAAAAACATTCTTTGGGGACAGCCACCCAAATGGCACACCCTCCACATGGTAAAAATGCTACGAGGCTCAGAGATGTCGAAATAACCACTGATAACTCAGCAAGTGTGACAAGGCCATTCCCTTTGAGGCAAAAAACCCTCACAATTCAACTCTCTCATTACTCCAGGCCACCGTGCAACAAAAATTGGGAAGGCTGGGCTACACGCAGGCTTCCAAATACCTGTGGCACAGGGTGGGATGGATGGAAGAAGGGGAAAGAGCATCAGCCTTTTATTCAGTGGCTGAAAAGTGTTTGGGCTTGGAGTCCACTGTAAATGTCTTCTCCCAAGAGAAGAAGAAGTGTCATCTTCTGGACCTCCAAGAGACTCATCTCCAACAAACGGAGACATCCCATACAAAGAAAAGGGCTACAACCAGCTCGGCACAGCCTGGTAAGCATCGATGAGTTTTTCAACTCATCAACAAAAACAAGGCACAAACATGAAACAAAAAAGTCATCTGAAACTCAACATTGGTAGCAGCAAGATGCACAGCCCAACTAGTGAATCAGCGTGCCTGCAAGAGGATGCATCGCCGTGCCCAAGCTGTGTCCTCGGATGCCTTACGTGAAGCAACACTGGCTTCATGCACCTGAACTACTGAGCTTCATTTTAGACAGGAGAATTACACAAAATTTAGAACTGCCTTGAAAATACTTGCAAACTGTGTGCCATCACAGCCACTTAAAGTTCTAAATGAAAAGCAAAAAGCAGTCTAGCAATTATTTAGATTTTGTTTTCTCATGAAGTAGCTTCAGCAGAGAAGCCTTGCACCATCACTGGTGTCTCTAGTAATTATTTAGATTTTGTTTTCTCAAAGTAGCTCCAGCAGAGAAGCCTTGCACCATCACTGGTGTTCCATGTTTCACATAGGAAGGATGTAGAATAAACTTGAAATACATGTCGAGGAAGAAATATTAAGTACTGATGAATCTCATATTAATGTTTCACAGGACTTACTTATTCCATAGTTGTTCTCTCTGTATCGTAGGGCAGAACATGGAAGCAAGTGCCACTTGTTCAGCAGAACCAGTTTCAGCCTGACCCCATGCCATCTGATGACCCAAAAAACATTCTTTGGGGACAGCCACCCAAATGGCACACCCTCTACATAGTAAAAATGCTACGAGGCTCAGAGATGTCAAAATAACCACTGATAACTCAGCAACTGTGACAAGGCCATTCCCTTTTGAGGCAAAAAACCCTCACAATTCAACTCTCTCATTACTCCAGGCCATCGTGCTCAACAGAAATTGGGAAGGCTGGGCTACACGCAGGCTTCCAAATACCTGTGGCACAGGGTGGGATGGATGGAAGAAGGGGAAAGAGCATCAGCCTTTTATTCAGTGGCTGAAAAGTGTTTGGGCTTGGAGTCCACTGTAAATGTCTTCTCCCAAGAGAAGAAGAAGTGTCATCTTCTGGACCTCCAAGAGACTCATCTCCAACAAACGGAGACATCCCATACAAAGAAAAGGGCTACAACCAGCTCGGCACAGCCTGGTAAGCATCGATGAGTTTTTCAACTCATCAACAAAAACAAGGCACAAACATGAAACAAAAAAGTCATCTGAAACTCAACATTGGTAGCAGCAAGATGCACAGCCCAACTAGTGAATCAGCGTGCCTGCAAGAGGATGCATCGCCCTTTAAAGGCCAACAAGCACTTAGGAAGCATCCCAAAAAGTTTTGTTTCCTTCTCCAAGCTAAACGGTAACTTTTAGCATTAAATTAACATCAATGTTTTGTCTCGAGGCTTTTTTTCTGTTCAGGTCTTGGGTGGTGGTTTTTATTTGTTGGGGTTAGCTTTTTTTTTTGTTGTTTGGGTTTTTTGTTGTTTTGTTTTTGGTTTTTTTTATAATCAGCAAAGGAGTTCAGAGGCAGAATAAGCACTGGATCCACAGAACACAATTTAAAAATAAAATAAAATAAAAAAGACTGTTTTTTTTTTTCCCCCCAGCAGTTACAACAGGAGAAGATGCATTGCCCGGCCCAGACACCACCATGGCCCAGAGACCCCATCTGAGAAGA